AATTTAGGGAAACCCCCAAATTTAAGGTTATGTGTTTAGTTTTGGCCCTGGCCTTGCAGAAGGATCCCTGATTATAGGGTTTATATTGGGTTTATATTGGGTTTATATAGGGGTTATATGGGAATAAAGGAAAAGAGAATGGAAACTACCATAGTATATTAGTAGAAGATAGGATCCCTTGTCCACCCTGAAGATCATGTCAGCGGGGCCATTGACTTACTGAGCTGGTTGTTCCTAGGCAATGGAGGCATGATTCCTGGAGCAGCCTCTATTTACTACACTCATAGTACATAGTAGACTCCATTTTTGCATTCCTTGATTCGTGTCCATTCCCTAAACTTCAACCCCTCAATAGTGGTTATTTTTGCCTTCCTTGATTCCGTACCAACAACTAGTAAGTTGAGTTGAACAGTCTTTCACCCGACTTCCAAGCACAGTGGTCCCGCAGCCCAACCTGGCCCGCGATACAATGGCGGCGTGCCGGAGTGATTTCGAGTTGAGGACGATGGCTCAGGTGATTTTCTCAGGGGATATCCGGGCCAAACAGTTGTTCTCAAATAGGCCATGGGGCAGATGGAAGGGCAGGTAAACATGATCAACATGTTTCAGGCACCTGCTGGCAGTATCCTGAACATTGTCTCCTTCTACGACTGAGCGCAGCGCTGCACTCGATACCCTGAGCCCTATACTAATATATTATAGTAGTTTCCATTCCCTTTTCCATTATTCCCATATAACCCCAATATAAACCCAATTTCAACCCTATAATCCCTATAGTTTCCATTTTCTTTTCCATTATCCTATACGGTCTGCAAACATGATATTCCGGCTTTCGGGCTGCGATGGTCCCCAGCCTCTCTTGTTTGCTGTATAATATAGTAGTTTCCATTTTCTTTTCCATTATCCCTATATCACCCCTATATACCCTAATATAACCCCTACATAAACCCTATAAGCAAAACCATCGTCCGGCAAGACGCTCACCCGCCTGCCGCGCAAACGCAGTGGTAGCATGAAGAATGAAGGACCTCTCTGGCCGCGCAGCCTGAGGTGACGAGAAGCCGCTGGAACATGGCATAGGTGGTGCTGAGTTGCGCGCCGTCGCGGAGAACGTGAACGGCTGCTGGGAGGTAATCCTCGTATGCCCCAAGAGTTAGCTTTGTCCCACCACAGCGCCTGAACACTTGCTAGAAAACCTCGTCCAGTCCTCAATCTCCTAAAAACTAGACCCTTATAACCCTATATAGTAGTTTCCATTTTCTTGTCTATTATCCCCATATAACCCCAACATTACCCCAATACATACCCTGATAATGAGACCATCTTCATGGCTTTAGCCCAATCTGCGCATCATTCCAAAGCTTCGGCACTAATCTTAGGATTAGGGTTTACGGTTTGGGATTTAGGGTTGTCAACTTCAGCTTTTTCAAATCCGACAGCAAAGTTCCAAGCTCTCAGCGCCTCAGGCACCACCTCTTGAGTCCTCGAGTCCCTGATTCAGCTAAGCCATCAAACAAGTTCTGCCAGGCCCTGAGATGAAAGTTAGGTTCCCTTCCGGGACCCTACACATATCCATAACCGAACATGGTCCCATGTTCCAGACTTGACAGTGGTCTTTGCAGAACTTTGTTGCGTTTCCGTATCTGTTTGAGGCAGGGCAAGCATACTTCTAACTTCTGACCTCTGTAAGCCCCTGGACTTTACTGGAATGAAAAGTGATAGGAAGAGAAATCACAAGATACCCCCACGTGGTACAAACATGGTGATATCCTATAGTCTCTCCTTATTACTCTTAAATAGAACACTAGTCTTTCAAAATGCGCCTACCTAGGCCAAGCCTGAGACCACTATAATCTCTCTTTCAATTCCATTTCATTTGAGTCTCCATTTTGTTTCTCGTTGAACGCACCAACTACAACCGTGCACCCTTTTCACGCCTACAAAACCCCATAACCCCTTCAAGGGACCCCAAAAACCTGAGTTCAAGTTCCCATTTGGCTCCTATTCCCTGAGCCTGAACCCCGAACCCCAAACCCCACCCAGATCCTAAAGCCTTAAGCCTAACTTTAAACTCCTAAACCTTAAGCCCTAAAATCCTGAGTTTTTTTCATTCCCAGCCAGCATGTTTGGGCTCCGTGTCCCGGTCAGGCGGGGCCATTGAGTGCCTTCCGTGTCTCGGAGGAGCTGAAGATCACCGCCACCGAGGCACAGCGTGCTACCGGGGATTATATGGGATCATGTCAGGATACTCAGGACATTTGAGGATATACAGGATTTTGACAGTTTCGATTTGGGGCATAGGTTTCTTTTGCTTGCTTTGGGTAGGGAATACTTTGGTTTGGGGTTGAGGGCTTAGGTTTTTGCTTGTCCTGCTAGTAGAAGCTCAATAAGAAATATTCCCAAATCATCTTGCTAATATAGTTTGTTCCCTTTTGTATTTCAGAAGCTCCTAAAAGGCATGCGCATCCTTCAATGCGAAGCACCAATCCTGAAGTCGAGCAAGCTTCAGCTCATCATTCTTCATTGTCAGGATAAAAACGTGGAGACATTCCTTCAAACTGAGTGCAAAGTTTCGTTCTCGCTCGGCCTATGTTGAAGCTTGATGCGAATTGCTTCTGCAGCCTGAGGCCCTGCACTGAAAGCGGAGCCTATTTCAATGACAACAAAGCCCGAGCACAAACCTGTTTGCGCATGCACATCCAAACACCAAATCCTGTGTTGAAGCACCTTACTTGTATGGCCCTCCTTGGACCTCTGTCTATAACATAATCCAAAAGGACAATGTGTTGACACAGCGTAGCAAGAGGCCCGATATCTCCTGCACGATGCAGAGCAGCGTGCTGTGCTCGTGCGCGACGATGCGCCTGAATGCGTGCCCTGGCAATTGATGTACCGAAAAACCCTCAACCCCTAAGCCCCTTATCCCAGCAGTATTCATCCGCCAGAAACACAGGGGGTGAGGGCCCTCATGGGAGGATTTGACAAGGGCATGTGATTGTTAGTGGCTTTTCTTATTCTAGATTCTGTTGCGTCACAGTGTCTTCAGATTTTTGCTTGGGAGGGCTGTTTAGAAGGGACCCCTAGTCGCGCTGCGTTATATACCCCGTATATAGTGCTTCTATACCTCCTGCATGCCTGGGCGGCCCCCATATTATACCCGATAAGCTACAATGGTCTCTCAGGGTCCCTCTTAAAGCCCCTAGATCTTATCGACACATTGAAGCCAGCCTGGGGCATGGGAACAGGCGAATGCAGGTGGGTTTGGGGTTTAGGGTTCCAGGGTTAAGGGTGGGCCAGCATATTAGCATACTACAGGAGCCTCTAGAACCTGGTAGACATCTGAGAGACACGTGTCGTCACGATGTAGGTCCTTATGCCAGCCTTTTCGTTGCTCAGGTCTACTTCTACCGCAACTTCTTCAATGACTTTTGAATTCAATTGTGGGGCCAAGAACGTGCAAGTCTGATGCGTTGGATGGGTCAGCAGTCAGGAATGCTAGTATGATTGCCGGCGATTGCAGGGCATACATGTATGTACATACCTGTTTGGATGGTCGGTTCTGTTCTCGTCATTTTTCTTCGATTGCGCCTAGACTTCATGCTGTCTAGCAAGTCTCGTAAACTGTCAAAATCCTGCATGCTTTTGTGATGGTGATACTACCGTCTAGATCCCTGACAAATTTAGTGCGGCACAGTCTCTTTGCAAAGAGGGGCTCTCTCAAACAGCAGTGAGTAGGGGGCTTAAGGTGCCAAATAGATGCCTTGTTTTTCTGGCTGCCCATGGGAAGGAAGGAACATCTAGTCATCAAGTCTTTTTTCTGTTTGCCATTAAGTGTGCTGCTCCAGACTTCAGACTGGTCGATGGGGCTTTGGACCCCGGCGACAGTGTTTCACGCGAGAAAAAACCTTCCTAGACCCTCCTCCTACCCTCTATTAGGGCCTAAGTACCCACTATTAGGGGCCTTATACCCCAATTTAAGGGTACAAGGAGGGTCCTGGTTTTGAGAACATGGCAACGGTAATGTAGAATCCTGAGTAGGTGGTAACATATTCTCAAGCATAGCGTTCAACACTTGCTACACAACTCTCCAGCTACATACCGCAGTCATGAGTGAGCCTTAGCTTAACATGATACTCATGGCCTTTACTGCTACCTCTCCTATCTCCTCCTACTGAGCACTTCTGTGCTTCCTGGATCAGTTGCTTTCCCATGCCCAAAATCTGGTCGCCGTGCTCTTTCCAAAGGTCTTAGCCCAAAGTTGAATGACTGGCCGGTCTGTTCGAGAGTATGATCTCAGGATTAGGAGGTCGTATTGCAACCCCTGGTACCCAGAGTTCACAGAAGGCTTGGTGTTGTGGAGGATGCCGGCTCAAAAGCAGCTTGCCCCTCATCATGTCATGCGGTTCCAGTGAAAGGATACACCCCACCCCCAGCATCCTCTTTGAGCTCAAAGCTGCACAGGTCATGAACAAAATCTGTACGCGGCTGCGGGTCCACACTAGTTGGCCAAGACCTGATGACTTCCTTGCTCTGCGACCATTAGTTGTTGGATCATGACGTGCCAAGAAAGGTCCTGTTTTCCTACCTTAGTTGACACAATGAAGGAGAGGACCATCTGCAACAGATCCGGCCGGCCACCTTGAAACTCCTATGAAAGCCGCAGGTTTTTTGAAGGAATCTTCAGGGCTGTGCAGATGAAAGACTGCATTGTTCTTCCTGGAGCTTATGGACTGCTGGCTGCGACCTCAGGCATTTTGAGCCTAGGCCATGTAGGATTCATGCAGGTGCTTTTGAGGCAAGCGCTGAGCTGGGTTGGGGCCTTGAGATTCAGGGCCTAGTGTTGAGGCTTGCACCAGGCTTGGTCAGGCTCATTCAGGGTATCTGGCTTCCAGCAATACTTGCCCAAACCAAGAACACTGCGTTCAGCCACTATAGTCCCTGCTACGATCTGTGCAAACTCATGTACATGTGTATGCAGTTGCGGATGCAAATGCGCATGTATGTTCACAAAGTTCCATGACCGGGCGTATGACCCAGGACTTCATAGGCTCCCAGCATACTACGCACGCGTCCTCCTCGTGATTGAGGTGCAGCTGCTGCTGTTCTTCTGCTGCGTCGGGACCCTTGTGGTCAAGAAGGTGCTCATGGACTAGAACTTAGAATTTGTAGCAGGGCTGTAGAAGTCCACCTTGACACCAAGAGCTTTCTCTCGACCTGCCTAGGCTTAGCTAAGATCTCTGATCTGTCCGTAGGTGCAGGCCCTTAGGGTTTAGGTTGCGGTTATGTAAGGTTTAGGGGATTTGGTCCCCATAGTGGAAAGCCAAGTTAAAAGCAAATGGAAAATGCAATGGAAAATTGGCTCAAACGTCAGCAGTGCCATGTGGGTATTTCACCGAAAGGCCCCAGAGAATGCCTAAAAAGGACCCCCCAGAGTCCCGATATAATCCCTCTTTGATCCTACATATAATCCCCCTAACGTTGCGAAGCTCGGGTCTCTGAAGTGCAGGTGAAAGAAGGGCCTCGACGGACTTGGTTTCAGTTCGGGTTGGACTCCTCGAAGCAGTTCCTCGGTGCAGGACGGTTTGGGTAAAGCCTGTTGGGATTGTATACGCGTAGTGATTGAGGTTTTGCACGGATCTTCACTTTTTAAATCAGTGTTTTCAAAAATTCGGCCATCTATCATCGCGATTAGAGTTGTATTGCTTGCTGGTCTTGTGCGGCAGCCACCGGTAGCAGTAGGCACCTACACATCGCCCTGGGGCAACTTCAGGGGCTGCGGATGTTGCCGGTGCTCACCATCCTGCGTCTCAGGTATTGGGGCATATGATAAGTGGAACGCGTGGTTCTGGAAATGCTATGTAAGGAATGTTACGACGTCTCAAGTTCCTGTTTTTTTGTCTTGAGTGCCCTTTCGGTACTGACCGGGCTTATGGACATAGGTGAAAGTGTCAAGAAAACAGTTGCTACCCCCGGTGATGGCCGCCTCCACTCTTGAGGACCCACTAGCCTCCTCATAAGACCTGTCTGAAAGGGGTGTTGTGCAGGAACAGTAAATATGTGCGGGGTTGAATTTCGGTCCCTCGTGAACTTGCCAGATGGCAAGATGGTAGGTACTTGGACGGTTTAGGTGTTTCAGGCTCAACGGTTTTTGAATCTAGGGGATGGCTTGGTGCAGTTAATCTGGGGTTGGTATTGGAGAGTTGTGTCATCCGGGTATTGGGCTTCCGAACGCTACCTCTGCCAAGCCACAGCAAACGTGCTCTTGCTGCTTTGCAATTCTTTCAATTCCAGCCGCTTTCACAGAGGTATATAGTATATCCTAAGCCCTGATAGTAGTTTGCATGTTATTTTCGATAATCCCAATGGAACCCCTATACAAGGAACATTAAGTGCGACGGCATTCCTAAACCTTCTACCTTGCACTTGCAAGAACCATCCGAAACCCAACGTCCCCAAAACCCTAAAAAAGCCTGAAGCCGAAGCTCCTGAATTGTTCTCGTACAATTGTTCTACTATGTACCTCTGAGCAGTAGTCCCCAATAGGGTAACATTAGGCAAAACAACTACTATGAGGGGGAGGGGTTGCTCTAACCATAGCGGCCTCTGTCGGAAGACTTCCTGGCAGGATGGATTCATGTCATGAACCTTCTGCTGCCGGACTGCAGCCGGTGTGTTCTAGGATGCTGGGTTGTGACCACGAGGCTGATGCAGAAGCCTGAGGAGCCCAGAGAATTAGCAATAGGAATTGCCCCCAAAATGGTGGCAATGCTCTTGTTGATAATGAACGTGGTTGAGTTGGATCAAGCCCCTGTCGCATATTATTCGGTGCAACCTGGTGCAACTCTCCCCAGCTTGAACGCGGCTGTGGAGTCGTGCTTCCAAGGTACACTTCTAGGCTTCTAGCACTCTAGGTTGGAGGCGTAAAGACTTGTCGAAGGCGTATTCGATTCAGTTCTTGCTGATTAGGCTTTCCCATTCGTAGACACGAATGCTGACCTATCGTCGTGGGAAGGGGCGTTTGAGTCTTCCTGTTGTCAGAGACAGCGGACCTAGGTGCGCCACTATCATGGGCAACCGCATGGGTGAAGGAGACGAGTGCGAGTGGTGCCCACAACCGGAGCAGTACTACATGGCGATACTGCATAGCCATGAGATCCTGCCAGAGGAGGTATGCGAGAAGTACAGGGAAACACAGAGGTCAACTTAAACACTCTAGGTAGATATCATGATTGTGGGCTCGTTTGAGGAAGTTTCGAATCTGCACTTTGCGATAGTTTGGGGTTCTGAAAAGGAAGTAGCTAGTCTGCTTTCTGATGCGAGAAGGCCGGCTTCCCATCTGTGCCTGCGCAGCAGGGTATACTGTTTTCATATGAGCTATAGTCTAAGCTCCCTAATGGGGGGTTATATGGGGGATTATGTAATTATATATGGGACTACTATAGGGGTTATTAAGGGGGATACTAGGAGTTTAGAACATAGCTCATATTTCCGAAACCATCTGGTGGCCTAAACCCTAAACCCTCTGGCCGCTGATGGGAGAACGACGCTTTGGGTGTCATCAGGCCAAAGTGGGCAGCGACAACACAAGCTGGAGACCCTAAATATGAACCATTGTTTATGGGTTAACCCTAAGGGTTTAAGGACCCAAATAATAGGGTTTCAGGGCCCAAATACCATTAATATTATGGCATTTGGGCCCTGAAACCCTATTATTTGGGTCCTGGGACCCTTAGGGTAAGGGTCTAGGGTCTCGGCTCCCAAGCAGCCACAAAAGGGTTTGTGAGCGCCAGGTACTGGCTGAACATCATGCTGGACACCACCCTGGGAGCAACCCGCTGACAACGGAGGACTTACGATTTAGATTTAAAGTTTCAGGTTTACTTAGGTGCTCCTATGTAGTTTCTTGGTATGGGATGTTTGGTAGCGGATGAAAGATGATGAAAGTATAGTTGCCAAAGGGGACCTACATGGGAGGTTCCGTGTGTAAGGGTTTGTAGGGTTTGGGCTATAGACCTGAAGCAGTAAAAGCGTAAGGCATGTTGGGATAAATTTTGATGAGGCAGAAAATGGGAAGTTGGCAGGAACTCCCATCTATTGTAGGTATCTTATGAAGGCAGCAGCCGTTTAAAGGTGCGGTCGTCTGTGTTTGGCTGACTTTCAGCTTCCAAGTTAGTATGTGGAAGGTTTGTAGATGAGAATGCGTGCAAGTTTTGCCCGGGTGGATTGACGTGGCTAGTCAGTATTCCCAGCCTGCAAACTCGTAGTAATAATAGTACTGAGAGTGGCAATAATAGTAATAGCTGTAATACGGCTGATGAAAGTTGGGGGGTTGCCACATGCCCCAAACAGTTGACTCCAACTCTTCAGTTCCCCTGCGCTATCACCCTGACACCGAGGTGTGGGTGGAATACATCCTGCTTCGAGTTCTCACTGACACTGGGCAATGTTTGGAAAGCACGGACGGAAAAGCAACCGTCTTCATGGGAAGCTTCAGCTTGGATTTCAAGTTGGTGCGTGCATAGTTGAATTCGGCCTTCTGGTACTGTCTACTTACACAGTTCAGAGACCCTGGAGAACGGCTGTCCAAGCCCAAAAACCCGAAAGTCTACGCCAAAAGCTGCTCCCAATAGTTCCCAAGCCTGAGATTCCAAACTCTACTATGTGGTAATTGGGGAACCAACTTGTCGCAGTATCAGAAGACCAACTCAGACCTGATTCCATGCCTTAAAGTACAGGCCCGTTCTTAGCTTTGTATAAACCCTAGTCCCTAAACCTTAAACTCTTAGCCAGCACACGCCGAAACCATCAAGGAAGCTTTGGACTCCCTGTTGGGAGAGGGTGCTCAGGACGGGCTTATTGTGTTGGGAAGGCTTAGTTCAGAGTCAAAAGAGGGTGTTGGAGAATAGTATAAGCATAAGGATTTTTGATTCTTGCTCATGTAGGCAGCATGAGGATGCAACCAGTAAGCATCCGGTTTTCTGAAGCGCAATGTACGTGGCACAAGGGTTTAAAGCTTTGACCGCACCAGCCCAATCCACACCCAGGGCAAACCGGTCGTTGCATTAATAGGTGTTTTGGCCGCAAACTTTGCAGACACCCAGGGCCAAACAAGCAACACGCAAGATTCTCAAACGTACCTTACAACCATCCTTAGTGAGGGACCCCGCCCCATCATCTTGTTGTAATCCCCATCCATGCCTAGGCTCCAAGTGGTAGATAGCCTTGTTTTGATAAACCCAAGACAGGGGCCAGGAATCCCGGGACCTACCAGTGTCCATCAGCTCCTACTCTTGGTTGGCACTTGAGGGACCCTAACCCCTGTGCCTGTCGCCTTTACAGTGCAACCCGCGCAAAGACAACGTGGGATCCACTGCTCAATTGAAGAGCACTTTTAACGTTGAGACTGCCTCAATGCAGAGTAAGATCATATCGTCCTTTTGGGCATGTTCCTTCATAAGAAGAAAATTACATCATTTGGTTCGTCCGCCAACACAATTCAGATGCAGCTCGTCTTTGGAAGGACTTCCGGACAGGCATCTACTGGCGAAACGGGGAGTTTCAGGTGGCTCGGATGCATGCAGCATGAGTTCATTTAGAACCTGGGAAGTACGTGGAAGCCTGTGATTCTGAACAATCCTGGAATAAGGATTTGACAAGCCAGGTCCCTTCGACCTGCATGTAGGGTTCTGGGTTTTGGGTGGCTGGGGAAAAGCAGTTGACAAACAGTTGTAATCCTAAGTGTTAAACCCCAAGCCACAGAACCTGAACAGACAGAGCATGCTGTGCAAGGAGGCCGTAGCTTCAGAAAGTCTACAAATTCCTGAGCCCCTGGTTGGCCAACTTACAGGAGTTTCCAAGCATGAAATCCCCTGCTAGAGCCCAAATACAAGATGATCCTGATTCTAGGGACTGAAGACCATTTTGTGGCAATCCCTATGTGAGGCATCCTCATAGGTGTGCCGAGGGCAGAACCTGGGCTTGCGTAGAGCTCCAAATATGTGAGCTTCTAAAGTAGCGTTACCTTAGGGACATATGCGATAGAAAAAGGAGATGATAGTGGAACCACTTGAGGGCTCCATAGGTAATTACATGTTGAGAAAGCCCCATATCTCCAACGGAGGATTGCATGGGGCTTCAATGTCAAGCACGGTTTCATCGTTGCCCACATGCAGCAAAAACACGTGTTCAAATGATCCTATCAAGAAATGAATCGGTCCGAGTCTTTAAACATGAAGCGATTCACAAGTCGCGAGCTGTAAACTACAGTGCACATGCCCGGGCCCAAATCCCCAATCCTAAATCCTTCCGTCAAATAGAACCAAGACCCAAATCCTTAAATCCTTATACCTTCAAATACGTCGTGCAGACGGCAAAACTTTTGGGCTGATAACCACCCTAAATCCTTTCACGTGGACACCTCTAGAGCAAATACCGCCTTCTTTCATGCTACACGCAAAGCCTACCAGGTGATTATGTATGTGAAGCAGCTTGTCGTGTGGCTTTGCATTGTGAGCTTCATGAAGCTCGCAATGGCAGCTTGCTCAGCGGTTGCTTCATGGTGTAGGGTAGAGTGTTTAGGGTTCAGGGGCCTAGGCTGCAAGACCCTAAACCCTAAGACCCCCAAACCCTAAGCCCCAAAAGCCTAAGCACAAAACAATAGGTCCCAAAACCACTAATCCCAATATCAGAATTTGGGGCTTAGGGGTTTAGGGTAGGTCAAGGCGGAGGTCTGAGGAGCTCAGGATCGAGAGGCCCAGTATAGTGTTCATGTCGGGATGATGGGGAAAGAACATGGAAACTAAAGGGATTCTAGGGTCTATATAGGGTTGTATTGGGGTTATATCGGGATGATGGAAAAGAAAATGGAAACTACAATTTAGGGTTTAGGGACAGTACCCCGATAGCTGGGGTTATGTCGGGGCTTATAGGGAGAGCATGTCTGTCGAGGCTTCAGCTTCTCTATTTCTAGAGTCTAGAGAAGATGTGTTGTTCTATGCCGTTGGGTCGGAGTCCGGAAAGCGGGATTCCCCAGCCACAGTTGGCATGAAAGGGTAACGGACCCAAAACCTTCTAGCCACTAGACTTTGAGCCCATTCCATGTCTTCTTGTAGTCCCCTCTTAGGGCTCCCAACACAGCTTTCAAAATTTAGGACTTCAAAACTCACACTTTTCAAGATTCAGAATGTCAACCAACAGAGCTTTCATGAAATAGGATACCAACAAAATCACTGCTTTCAATATTTAGCCTCGGCGGCTATCCACATCCTACAGTTTGTTCTTGCGCTTGAACGCACCATGCCTCAACATCACGACGTGGCGGTTCCACCAGTAGGAGGTCAGCAGGATACAGGTTGTGTGGCGGGAAGCTTGCACAGGCAGACTTTCACCCCCAAACTCCTATGGAACCCTAAGACATACACACTTGTAGAAATGCAGATTTTTTCCTGGGGTATAGATAGCTGGGTGGCTTAGTTTTTGTTGGATACGAGCAACTCCTTGAAGTCATTTTCCTTCCAATCTGCCTATTGTGCAGGTGGTGACTCTTGGCAAACATTTGGATCCGTCTTGGGTTCTCGTGTCTTTGCGATCGGCGTTTGGGAGCTTCAAAAAGGGAGCAGGTGCATGTATATCTCGAGAAGTGGGGGTTTGGGTCAAGTCAGGGGCTCCCTTCTGTGGAATCCCCATATTATATTGGTGTCTATGTTGGTGCCCCCTGTTTAGGGCACACCCCCCCCCCCCTGCTTATTCTTTGTAGAAGATGTCCGGCCGCATTCCTAGCCATCTGGGGGTTCCGAAAACTAGCTCCCATTGAGGGTCCCTAGAAAAAGACTATAGTATGTTGGGGTCTATATTGGGGTCCCCCTACTTGGGGAACTACCCTATGTGTATTAAGAACCTGTGGCTTTCAGCCATGCAGAAGTACTGCAATGAGTCTTCCTGTTGCGTTGTTGTACTGCATATTGAAAGATGTGATGGGGTTCAGTATGGAAATTTGCTGATAAGCTTTCAGGGTCATATAGGCTTTCCCTGCTTGGAGTTTGGATTGGCAGGGCATGAGGGCACAATCTGCGAGCTGTTTAGAGGCTAACATTTGTTGTAGATGTTCAGGGAGACTTGAGCTTTTCATGTTAGTTTCGTCTCTGCTCTCCTCGAGACACCCCCCTGAACGACTCTTTCAGAACATGCCAGTTTCTGAAAATGGGCATAGCTTGGCTCCAAGAATGCATGCGTCTTACCCATGTTAGTTTACTTACCGGTGGCTAGCTGGGAAGAAGAGAATACCGTCCATATATAGTCCCGATGTAATCTCTTCCCTCATTCCCTACTAGCCCGATGTAAGTGTACTTCTGGTATTTTCCGCCTGAGGAGGCCTCAAGACAAACGCTCACGAACAATGTTCTAAGCCCCAAGAATGTTTCAGTGCTGTTCGCCCCCTTTTCTTGAGAAATAGATACACCAAGAAAAAAGACTGGAGCCAGCCAGCCACGACTGTCTAAAGCTGCACATGCTCTTGCCGGCTCTTCAAATTGCTGCCCTCCGTGCCCTGCACAGCCTGTGGTAAAGTCCGGTCCCTACGGAGCCTTCGCATAGCAGCATTGAAATTAAACAGACACAGCCGTTGCTTAGACACGGAATCCTATGAAGTGGTTGCGACTCCCTCCCAGATCCTACTTACTCAACCTCTTAAAGCCCCTAGGCCCCAAAGCCTATGTTGGAGCGTCTCGCTCGTTATGACACTCTGCATGAATCCCTATTTTGAGAAGTCCTTGAACCCCAAGCCCTAAACCACCTAAACCTAAAACTCATACAACTCGAGTCAAGCCCTATACTTTCCTGTAGAACTTCTGTAGGGGTACCTCCATTTCGAGAAACCTCCCCATCATACACCTAGGTTGATGATTCTCTTGGCCAAGCCATTGACGCTAGCAGCGCGGACCGTGCTAAACCCCTTCCTTGAGAAACCCGAGTTCGAAGCTCAGGGGTTGCTGGGGGGCGGGGGCGTTTGGCAAGCTTAAGGGCTCGCTGGAGTTTCGGTGGGAGCTTCTGGGAGGGTCAGAGCGTTGAGCTGCGCTCAAGCAGGCGGCAAAGTTGAGCATCAGATACTTTGGGGGACATAGCCTGAGCAACCAAGCTGGAGTGAGAAGTCCATGGCCAGTGTCAACACCAAGGCTCCTGCGCACAATAAGTTATCATTTGCTATTGCGCTCCCGATGAAAACTTAGGATTCTGCAGGCACAAAGACAGCAAGCTCTGAAGCAATTGGAGTTCCAAGCTTAAGCCGCCTCCCGTGCCTTAAACTCGTAAGGGTTGTTCTCGCACCTCCAGTCTCCAAATTAGGACTCTACAATACCATTCTACAATAGCATGTGACTATAGCAGAGCATCACCTCCAACAGTCCATAAGACGAAGTCCTCAGTGTTTTCCAAGAAGCCTGCAAATAACCTTTGGCCTGACATTCAGCTCGGACCCTAGCCGAAACCCTAAACCCATGTCTAATCAAGCACTGATACATCTGGACTGACGGGGCCCTCAGAGAAAAGGGACCGTGAAGCTTGAGAGACAAAGAGTTTAGGGCTCAGGGCGGGGTCCTAAAGCCCCCAGACACACCTGAGGATCCAGAAGTCAGATCTATATAAACCCTGAATCACCTCAACACGATCATCCCTATATAGCCTTTCGTACTTTCCCTGAAATCCAATTTCCATTGAGGTTCTAAAGGTCCTACCAAAGACCTAAACCCTAAATCCTGGACAACTAAACCTCAGGTCCGCACCAAGGACGCCCAAGTGTCCGTCATCTCAAGCCTCTTCAAGTACGCTAGTCACCTCACCCTATATACTACCCCCACCCCAGCTCCATTACATACTATGGGGAATATTAAATACAAGGGGGGGAATTTAGCATGAGGGGAAGGTGATTACACAAAGTGCTGCGCAGTAGAGGGACTCCTTTGCAGACCCAAGCTAAGGTGCCATTGCCGAGCTTGGTCAAAATCACCTCCAAGCACGTCCTACTACAGACCCACTCCACTACATCCTTCTGTCTGCAGGGGTCCCCAAATCACCCATTTGAGAAACCTCCCTATGGGTACTTGGGTGTTTGGGCTCTACAGGGGGACTGCCTTAAAAGGTTGAAGCTGATCATCGTCATGATCGCCACTCCGGTGCCGATGCAGCGTCACAAGGGCATAGCCTTGGGCGTAGGATTATGTCAGGCTTTCTCAAAACGCTCGAACCCCAAACCTTATTGCCTTTTCTAGGGGGGAACGCATGTGAGGGAACATTGTCGGCCCTGTGATCTCTTGATGACTGTTCATGTTTCCATGGCCTTCCCCGTTACGTTGTTGACCATCATGTTGCTCCAGTTGTGCAGAAGCCTGTTACCTTATTCATGGGACATTTGGTGTGCTTGTATGAGCACTGCACGCCCCATAGTCCTGAATTAAGCTTGTGCGCACTCCAATGCCTTAATCACGCTTAAGCAATCTTAACCAGAGGTGTACGAGTGGTAGCAAAACTCGCCACTTGCAACCCCAAACCAAATCTTGCAGACATCGGAAAAGGAGAGATACCCATATTATCGTTAGTCTAAAGTGGTAATATTGCTGCTTCTATGAATATTACTATTACTAGTACGATGTTCAGAAAGCTTGCAGGGGCGGGGCGAAGCCATACTCACTGGCATACAACCATGCTCAGGGCTCGTCCGGCAATGCGTGTGATAATGCTGGCGATATATTCTGAAGCCCAGTTGTCCCTGGCATTGACAGATCTCAGCCCCGAGCGCTAGTTTAACGGCCACTTCGTGCACTAGCAGGCAGCGACAACACCCATCATGGATGGAGTCTGTCTTGCAAACTGCTAGATTCATGCGTTTTCAACTTAGGATCCATGTTCGGAACTACAAGCCCGAAGATCTACACCTTCATCCCTGAAGATCAGCAAATCTCCAAGCCTTAAGCCCTGAAGCCTTAGCCTCGTAGACCCCAAATCTTGAGCCCCAAAGCCCCAAAAGGTGAACCTATCAAGCTTCCAAGCCCTATAGACTCCCTGGCTTCGTGTGCAGATGATCATGAACGCCTTCCAATTCTGGGTCACCGATAACTTCATCAAGAAGCCTGAAGGTGATGAGAGTCAAGGACTGATTCTTGCGTTTAGGGCATGTGGCCAGAAGGGTTTGGGTTTCAGGTTCTAGGCGTTGGGGGTTTGGAAGTTTAGTCGTGGAATTCAGGGTGAAGGGCTTGGGGTCCAAAAGCCCTAGGACTTCTCCTTCTTCTTCAGGGGAGAGTTCAGGTACGGATTTGATTACAGTTTTGTCGGGTGTACGTAGGATCCCTTGGAGCTTGGTAAGTGTATATTAAAGGGTGTGTCCTTCTAGGGAGGACCAGAACGTCTGTACGATCTATGTATGTATGTATGTATGTATGTATGTAGGTACGTATGCATGTGCACAGACGCATCTGTATTCTTTTGCTGGTTCCTGGGGTTGCTCCGAAGGGCTCTTATCGCGTGACTCCTAAACAGCCACAGGAGAGCCTTTGGGTGGAAGGTGCGGGCCACGGGCCGTAGAGGTTCAGGGATGAGAGTGCCCCACTTGGGGCTCCGAAAGGCTTGACACGGTTAAAGGGCCTAGCATTGCGATGAGGATGACAAGGGGCAGCAGTCGGTTTCAGGGGTCTGCGAGGCATACAATAACAAACATCTTTGGTTGATTCAAGGATCGAGCCTAGGGCCTTTACTTAGGTTGGGAAACTTCTAATCTGTATTCACATCTGCATAAGCGGTTCCGCCACCGTCCCGTAGTCCCATACTTTCAGAACCCGTATATACGTTGCTAGCGTGCCCAATGGCACTCACTTCGAGAAGCCCTAAGCCCTAAACTTCAGAACCTGAACTTCCTACCTCCTCCTGAAGAATCTGTGCACCCCCAAAGGGAGGTCCGTCTTTTTTGGTGTGGGGACAAGGGAGAAAAGTTCCATTTGCAGGATTCTCTGCCCCAATGCTGGGAGCAGTAGGCGTGCACCTCAGAACCTGAACAGGTGCTTAAGGATATGGTCCCCCTTAAGTAGATAGAATATGGGGTATATGGGGATCCTATTCTGATATACCCAAACCCATATTCTATCTACTTAAGCGGGACAATAATCTACGGTGTAGGAATGGAGAATTCTGAGGCCCTCATACTGGGAATTTTCTGGATTCCAATATGATGAAGTTGCCTAGGCATTGCCTTGGAAATGCCCAGCTTTCTGGAGCTTAGGTAGGGGTCCTGTCCTGGAGTCTTGCCGGCACTTACGTCTTTATTCAACTCAGCTACCCCATTCCAAGGCACACTTGCTGCGTATCAGTCGTCTTGTCAGTCTGCACGTGGGGATAGCCGTGATAGTTGGGAAGCCAGTACATTCAGTTCAGTCATGACGCATGCTGACAGGACAGCCATCAATCCACGTGTGGCCAGGGTGATTCATGGTAATTGTTGCATGCCCGATTTGTCTCACTTTCAGTTGCGGTGCTACACATATCAAGCCCGAAAAGACGCACATGGCTGGCAGAAAATCTGGTCTAGACTAAGTCAATTATGCGTCTCCATTTAGACTCCATGCGCGCCTGGGTTTCCAACGCGCTTCCTGAAAGTATGTCGCATGTGAGGACTCCTCCCTCGAATGTAGCCAACGTGGATGCTAGTTTGTACACAGCCCCAAAATTGCAACCAAGAATTAGAATTCCTATGCCCTATGCGGGTCTCTTACCCAGGGAGCTGCCTCCCCCAAGTACCTACAGCAATCAGTGTACCTCTGCTTTGCATTGAACACCCTTTGTATTGAACATGCTGTGTCTGTATTAAATTAGTCAACAGCATGGAAAAAGATTGCTTCATGTTGATAAGACAGGGTCTGAAGATGTTGGCAGCAGTTGTCCACTGAACCCCCAAGGAAAGGATGTAAGCTACTGGCGGCCTCCACTCCCTATTTGCCTATGGTACACCATCAACTCTTTATTCCTGGTGGATACAAGCTGCATGGCCTCGTAGACCCTAGGAAGAATGGCAACATATGAGCTCTAGGGCGTCCCCCTTTCAATCCCCTAACGTAGTCCCCTATGCACTCTCATATTTCACCCCCTTTAAGGAGTGTAGACTATAGCTCATATTATAGTATTTAGCCGCCTGATGGCTAGACCTGGGAAGCAGTGCGTCGCCTGACGCCCGGCCCCGGATCGCCTTGTATTCAATCTTGCAGTTTGCGCTAGTGTTAGGTAATATAGCTATAGTCTAGACTCCTTAAAGGGGCTATATAGAAGATCATATAGGTTAGTATTATGGGGGTTCTTAAGGGGGATAGTAGGAGTTTAGAGTTCAGACTATAGCTCATATGGTTGCACAGGGCTAATTAAACAAACCTCTTATGCACCTCCCCGAATCGTGTACTGCAACTACTAGTACGCAAGCTCCAAGTGCTCAAAGATTGGGTTCTTGGGCCCCTAGGATCTAAGTGCTGAAGCTGCAGGAGGATCCAGCTCTGGGAATCACAACTCCTGTGCCAGCAATGAGCATTGGCCTCAGCTGCTCTACATTCAGAATCCCCTCCTCCAAGACTAGCCCCCCAGCCCCAACGCCCCTCATAATCGTTTGCCTCGCAATACGTGAAGGTACGGTGTCAAGGATGGGAGGGGCAGGAGGAGGAGGAGGAGGAGGGGGAGGGGAAAAGGAAACCTCCCAACCAGTGGATTTGGGATTCAGCTTCAGCTGCATCTTGTCTAGTGGTGAACTGCGGTACTACGCCCTCTACAAAGAGAGGACAGAACTAGAGGCTTTGACATTTGCACATTGATAGTTTCCCTAAATATGGTGATAGACTAGGGACCCCCAAAATGATACTCCTGGTTTTAGAAAACCTCCATGTCAACCCCGCAAACCATCACAGTGTGTTGAGGTCCCCTGTCAATCACGAATCTGGGTCACTGTCGAAAGCACTTTTAGTTTTAGCTTGCGAAAACAACGTTTGGCATCCAGAGCTAAATTGAGTTGATTCAAAGTGGGGGTTCGAAACCCGAGAGATATGGGAATTTACTGGAGGGGTTGTACGGCGCCTTTACGGAGTATGTAGAGAACATCTCAATATTACGGTTACCATTCCTATTGTTGTTGTTGTTGTTGCTATTTTTCTCATTAAACCATCCAATCATAGGGCAGAACCCTAAACCCTAAACCTATGTAGAAAACATCTCAAGGATCTCCCAAATTTGAATTGCCGTTCCCAAACGCTAAACCCTTAAACTTTAAACCCTAACCCCCAAACCCGGCACTCCTCAACTTGGAAGGCTAGAGCAGCTAAGAAGTGAATCTGCTGTGGAGGCGTCGCTTCTGCCTAGGGTTCGACTTATTGGGGCTTAGTAGGGAACAAGGGGCTACGTTTACGGCTTAGGGGTTGGGGTAGCGAACAAGAGAATATGTTACGTAGGGGTTATTTAGTGTATATGGTGTTAGGGTGGTTGTTTAGAGTAGGGTGGTTGAGGGGGTTTGGCGTCTAGAGGATGAAGGGCGTATGTGGATGAGGGTTTAGGGGGCTTTATATGGTTGACGGATAATAGTTTTATAGATTGAAAGATAGCGGAGGAAGGACAACGAATGTTTGGAACACACAAGATGCCAAGATGTAGTGGGCTGCAACAGGGACAACATTTGGAGATGCATGAGACTCCTCATCATATTTTTTGGCAAGTTCTGCGCTTCCAAGTACTCACTCAGAGCTGTTTCTCAACGGAACTTCAGCAAGAGCTGTTTTGGAGGATATTAGGTCAATCACCCCTACAGTAATAGCCCGTAAATGTGGAGCTAATAGGGCGTACCATACCTACAATAGTCCTTTGTGGCATCCAATACTGGGTGGGGCGATTGACCCGAGGGGGCTATCCTTGGTTTTATATTGAGGCTTCGAGCCGGCTATGCCTATCTATTTGTTCGTATATGTTCTGTTTGCCGCACCGATCTCTTGGGTGTAGTAGTAGGATAGACCCTCGAAGCCTAATGGTTGTAGCATCATGTTACTGATAACCAACCCTCATAGCAGTCATTGGGTCCTCCTTTTGGAGGTTGCAACCCACATCATCCCACATCCCCTGTTCGGTGTAGAGCCTGTGCATGTGTAGGGGTTCAGCTACGAGGATCAGGCATGGACTGGGTTGCTGTTGAGGAACTTAGTTTACGTTACTAGATCGGGGAAACCCAATCAATTGCTATGTTTATACCCATTATGGTAACTTAATTCAAGTTCCTTAACAGCAACCCAGTTTAAGTGATATTTAGCAGGAGCTTTTTTATTCTTTTGCAGCTTCTGAGGTGACGTTTGTTCAACCAGCTTACTGGAGTTGCTGTCGGAGTTTGAGGGTTTAGGGTTCAGGGTTTGGGGTTTGTGTGTTCAATGTGTCATACAGCTTTGGTGTTGCAGGAGTCAGACTTATCCGTAAAGCATTGAGAAGAGACTGAGTGCCATCAGCTTGGCAATTCTAGGTTCTATCTATCCACGGATGACTCAGACTTCTTTGATTTCAGCTAGAGCCGCAAGCAGACTAGAAAAGAGCACCACTGATTGCAACACCACGTTTGGAGTTCGGGATTCGGGCAGGATGCGTGTTCTATGTGTGAGACCTGAACGGTTCGAGGAGAGCCTTGTTGGATAGAAAGTCCTCACGTTCCAAGCAAACTCAAATATTCCGTAAGAGCGACCGCTGTATACATATTTCGCTCCCTATACCCCTGACAAACTTGAACAGCATGATCCAAGATCTTGAGAACAATCGCTACAAGCCCAATAAAAGAAAGTGAAATTGGGGATAATCAAAACCGGAAACCCAAAGCTCAAAACACTAAACCCTCGTGTCGAAGCATAGGCCGCACGTAGAGGCTCACGTCACACCTGTTCTCGCCGCCAGGACGAAGTACATACCCAAGAAAGACTTGCGCGAAAGCGGGGATTGGGATTCAAGTCTCGTCCCCGACCTTTAAAACCGTAATCCCTACACACTTATCCCTCAACCCTATGCCAGGAACACTGACCCCGACACGGTGCACTACGTACCCCTTAACAAAAGCTATTACATGTTTATTTACAGTAGAGAGCGTAGTCCTCAGCATTTACTAGTATAGACGACCTTGCTGTCTCAAAACACCCCAGCACCACTCCTATCCATCTTTTGCATGTAGAAGGGGCTCAAAGCCCTACACCATACGCCCTAATCCTCAAACTCTAGATCAAGAAAAACTGAAGCCTTCAACCCTAAACCTCCGAGAGCCCTGAACCCGGTTCTACTGGGGTAATGGAAAAGAAAATGGAAACTACTATAATGGGTTTTATAGGGATTATACGGTATATATTGGGGATCCCATGATTAATAAACCCTAAACCCTAAACCCTCCTTTTAAGACATCAAGCTCGTTTTCCCGCGCTGCGCCTGAGTGTTGCGTCAAGGGGGCACTTCACAGCCCATCAATTAAGTTACCATAATGGGTA